TACGTGCGCAACCACGTCACCCTTGGCCGTAACATCGCAAACGTGACTTTTCCTCCGAACAATTCAAATATAACTGAACTCGAACATGACTTACTGAACATGATAACACATAATGGTCGAAGGTTTGAACTTAACATGTAATAACATGCGAGCGGCCCGTGGTGCGCACTAAGTGTGCGACCACAACCCTTCGGCCAAAGCACTACCAACATGACTAATTATCCGAACATTTACGTTAATTTAAACATGATATTGCAAATAAAAGCTAAACATGCAAGGATAGTTCGGAGAATAATAACTTATAACATGACATGAACGGCACGGCTACGGCTTAACACACATGACACGCGTGAATGCCTAACGGAAAAATCGAACTAAATAACATGATAGTCTCGGTCTACGACCGTCGGGAACTTACCTCTTACAAAGCTCAAGAGACTAATCTACTCGAACTCCCGCTCTCGGTCGTGACCCTCCGCGTGTGCGACACCGTGCGATGGTTTATGTTGCGTGCGGCTCTCGGCAATTGCCCACGAATAACACACTCAACACACACAAAGCCTCACTTAACTCTCGGCCATATGCTAACAAAAGACACTCAAAAATCCTCACAATTCTCTCTTGAACTCTCGGAAATATAGACTTAGGCGCACAAGGAAGATGGCAAATGAAAAGTTTCTCCAACTTAACTCTCTTATGCACGGCCGAAAGGAAGAGGAAAAATTACATGGTCAAAGACCATGAACACTTGGCAACCATGCACACCTCTCTTGTCCTCACTTAAGACACGTGAAAATGCCAACAAAATTGAGGAAGAAATGTTTGGTCAAGAACCCACTACATGCACGGCATTATGCAAAACCAAGAAGGAAAATATGGACAAAATGCACTAAAATACAACACTAATACCCACGGCATTTAAGGACTAAAAGGGGAGGAATCTTAGACCAAAGACTAGCATAAAGACAAAGGAGGAATCTTGACTACATATACACATGGAGCACGACATTATGCATGCCTAGGGAACAAAATTCTCCACTTACTTAACATTAAGAACCGCACGGCTAAATTGAAGGGAAATTTTTTAAAAAAAAAAATCCCAACACTAAAACATGAAGAGAATTTGGACCAATATACCTTATGCTCACGGCTTTAATGCCTTTGAACTAATTTCCACACGGTTAATCCACATTAGCATTAAATTAATGCTTAACAATTCACTAAATTATGCTTAATAAACATATAAGCATAATACTTAATTACGAAAATTATTTCGAACGTAAGCGGTACGTTGAAAATCATTTCCGGTAATTTCGACTGAAATAACTGAAAATAATTGATTCCGAAAAATAATATCAGAACTAAAACATAATTTATACTGATAATTTGTCGGGATATTACAATCCTCCCTCCTTACAAAATTTCCGTCCTCGAAAATTCAGAACATAAACTGAAAATACATGAACTATGTACATGGAATAAGAAATATGTTCATCAGAACTGAAAATCTGGAAAACGAGCGCGAATATCGGACTCCTCCTCCCAAGTCGCTCCGTGGCGATCCCACTGAATGCGCACGAGGGGAATATCTCACTTCCGGAGCCGACGAACCTGACGGTCTAGAACAGCTACCGGTCGCTCCTCGTACGAAAGATCTGACTGAACCTGAATATCTGAATGAGGAATGACATGATCGGGGTCGCACACGTACTTACGCAACATCGATGCGTGAAATATATTATGAATGCCTGATAACTCGGGAGGTAGGGCTAATCGATACGTGACCTCGCCTACTCGTTCGTGAACCTCGAACGGATCGATGAACCGAGGGTGCAGCTTCCCTCTCTTTTCGAATCGCACAACTCCGCGAATCGGACGAACTCGGAGAAAGGCTGGCTCGCCAACCTCGAACTGAATGTCTCGTCGATGATGATCCGCGGAAGATTTCTGACGACTCTGAGCTGTCCTGAGTCTCTGCCGGATCAACTCGACCTGATCTGCTGTCTCCTCGATCAACTGGGGACCGAGTACTCGTCGCTCTCCGACGTCGTCCCAATAGAGAGGGGAACGACACTTGCGACCGTAAAGTGCCTCGTAAGGAGCCATCTGAATAGAAGAATGGTAGCTGTTGTTATATGCGAACTCTGCGTACGGCAACAACGACTCCCACTTAGCAACCCTGTCAACGACCAAAGCGCGAAGCATATCCTCAAGCGTCTGAATAGTCCGCTCTGACTGACCGTCTGTCTCCGGATGGTAGGCTGAACTGAACTCAAGCTTCGTGCCCATCGCCTCATGCAAGCTGTGCCAGAATCGACTGACGAATCTGAGATCTCTGTCTGATACAATCGTAACGGGCACTCCGTGGAGTCGAAAGATCCCACGGGCATATATCTCAGCCAACTTATCCATGGACATCCTCATCGAAACGGGTAAGAAATGCGCAACCTTAGTCAATCTATCGACCACGACCCAGATAGCGTCGTGATGTTCAGACGACCTCGGCAATCCCGTAACGAAGTCCATCGTGACTTCCTCCCATTTCCACTTCGGAATCGGCAGTGGCTGCAGGAGGCCAATCGGACTTTGATGCTCGACTTTAACTTGCTGAAAGGTTAAACATCTCTTGACGAACTCGGCGACGTCCTTCTTCATGCCTCGCCACCAGAACGACCCTTTCAGGTCGTGATACATCTTCGTGCTCCCTGGATGGGCTAGATAGGGTGCGGTATGGGCCTCTGATAAAATCTCCTTCCGCAACACCTCAACTTTCGGGACCACAATCCTGCCTCTGAACTCTAGGGCACCATCGGCACCTAGCTGAAAACCCTCGACGCCTCCGACGCGAACTTTGGCCTCCATGACACGAACGAACTCGTCAGAAGCCTGTTCTCGCCAGATTCTCTCTCTCAGCGTCGGCTGAAGTTGCATAGCACTGACACTGGCACTGGTACTCCCCGAAACTGCTATGGGAAGTGCATCAATCGCCTGAAGCTGCATCCGGGCAAACTCCTGAATCAAAGGACTCTGCTGAGTAATGACGTACGTCAAATCACCCCTCACATGTCGGCTTAGGGCATCTGCAACGATGTTCGCCTTTCCCGGATGGAACTGTATAGAGCAGTCGTAATCCTTGACGAGCTCTAACCAACGGCGCTGTCTCATGTTGAGCTCCTTCTGAGTAAAGATATACTGCAAGCTCTTATGATCTGTGAAAATCTCACAATGACCGTCGTAAAGATAGTGTCGCTAAATCTTGAGAGCATGAACGACTGCTGCTAACTCCAAGTCGTGCGTCGGATAATTCTGCTCATGTGGCTTAAGCTGACGGGAAGCATACGCAACGACCTGGCCGTCCTGCATAAAGACACATCCCAAGCCCTGTCTCGAAGCATCGCTGAAGATAGTGAAACTCCGAGAAGGATCGGGAATAGTCAACACCGGTGCTGAAGTTAATCTCCTCTTGAGCTCCTGAAATCTCGACTCACATCGGTCAGTCCACTCGAACTTCACAGACTTCCTAGTCAGCTGGGATAGAGGGAGGGCGATCTTGGAAAAGCCCTCGATGAACCTGCGATAGTATCCAGCTAGACCGAGAAAACTGCGAACCTCGGACGGACTCCTCGGTGCTGACCAATTCTGAACAGCTGAAACCTTGGAAGGATCCACCTCGATACCTGCCTGAGTAATCACATGACCCAGAAAGGATACTCGTTGGAGCCAGAACTCGCATTTGGAGAATTTTGCAAACAACTTTTCTCGTCTGAGGGTTTCAAGAACCACCCTCAGATGCTCCTCGTGCTCCTTCTGGCTCTTCGAGTAGACAAGAATATCGTCAATAAAGACAATAACAAACTGATCGAGGTAGGAATAGAAGATACGGTTCATGAGGTCCATGAAAACTGCTGGCGCATTGCTGAGACCGAATGGCATGACGACGAACTCGTAATGGCCGTAACGAGTCCTGAAAGCGGTCTTAGCGATATCTGACTCCTTAATCTTCAGCTGGTGATAGCCTGATCGCAGATCAATCTTTGAGAACACACAGGCACCCCTCAGCTGATCAAATAAGTCATCGATCCTGGGAAGCGGATACTTGTTCTTGATCGTCAACCGGTTAAGATCCCGGTAGTCGATGCACATGCGCATGGATCCGTCCTTCTTCTTAACAAAGAGAACGGGTGCTCCCCAAGGTGACACACTCGGTCGGATGAAACCGAGTCGCAACAGCTTCTGAATCTGCGCCTTAAGCTCCTGCAACTCCTTAGGCGCCATACGGTACGGGGCTTTGGATACTGGACCGGCCCCTGGAATAAGGTCTATAGAGAACTCCATCTGCCGATTAGGCGGTCCTCCTGGAAGCTCGTCTGGGAATACGTCCACAAACTCTCGAACGACTGGAACATCGTGAGGTGAACGTGCTTTCTGAGAATCGTCAACAAGGCTCACCAGATAACCCTGGTAGTTGCCTCGTCGCAGCAACTTAGTGGCTTTCGCCATCGAAACAACATGAGGCAAAGAACGGTTTCTGGAGCTGAAGAAAGTAATCGACTCGTCTCTCGGAAGATAAAGAGTAATCTCCCGATCGCGACATTTGATATCCGCATGATAAAAGGATAGCCAATCCATTCCGAGAATAAGGTCGAAGTCCTTCATCTCGAGAACAAAAGCGTCGGTAGGCAATACTCGGCCACCGATGGAAAGGCTAAGATCTGAGGCTTTAGCTGAAGTCACTATCTTTCGTCCCGAGGCCAAACTCACCTCGAGAGGATCGATAGCAGTAGTAGCGCGAACTCCGATGGCATCAAGACATCGTCGTGTAATGAAAGTATGTGTAGCTCCGGTATCAAATAAAGCAAACACAGGAACATTATTAAGAATAACCATTCCGGACATGGTACCTGGCTGCTGCTCGGCCTCTGCCTGATCGACGGCGTAAACTCTGGCCTACTGTCTGCCCCTCTGCTGCTGCTGTTGGGGCTGCCTCTGTGCCTGCTGACGGGGCTGCTGCTGCTGCGGTGGCTGCTGTGGCTGCTGAGGCTGCTGAGGCTGCTGCGCCTTCTTCGAACAACGGTTCGCAAAGTGTCCGACCTCGTGACAATAGTAGAACACATCCTGACCAAAGCGACACTCGCCTCGGTGAAGTCGTCCACATGTCGGGCACTGTGGAATCTGCTGTAGCCTCCGTCGGGCCCTCTTATCTGCCTGGGCACCTTTATCTTTCCTCTTGTTGTTCTTGGGCGGCTGGGTAGATGGTAAAGCTGGCATCGGTGGAACTGAACACGACTGAGCAGGGACGAATGGATGAATCTGACCACGAACTGCCTCCCTCCTAAGGCTAGCATCCACCTCCTGAGCAATGGAGACTGCACGTGCATATGTCTGTGTCCCGTGGCCCACGATGTTATGACGGACTGCTGGGTAAAGCCCGTCAATGAAACGCTGCGCTCGCTGGGCCTCCGAGCGGACCAAATCAGGAACTAAAGCTGCAAGTCTCGTGAACTCCCTCTCGTACTCGTCAACAGTACGAGTAACCTGCTGGAGCGATAGAAACTGACGCTCCATCTCTGCTCGGTAGTATGTGGGATAGTACTTCTCACGGATTAACTCCTTGAGCATCTCCCACGTACATCCCGCTTTCTCACCGGGACGCATGCTCCAGTAAGCGTTCCACCAGAGCCTGGCATCACCGGTGAACTGAAGCTGTGCGCAAACCACGCGATATCTCTCAGGACACTCCATGACCTCGAAGATAAACTCCATACCCTGAATCCACTCGTCAACTACGCGTGGATCTCCCTGCCCTGAGAACTTTTCGGCATGGTAGTCGCGGAACTGGGCGACCACTGTAGCCTGAGTAGGAGCCGGATGATCGGGTTCCTTACGTGGCGGCATCTGAACATTGGAAAAGTTCAAAATTATTGAATACATGATGATATTCTGACTGATTACTAAGGCACACAGATCTCTTGAGGTGTTGCCAAAAAAATGGCCGGTAAATACTGACATGAAACCTGAGGAAACTCTAGAGTTATACTGAACATACTGAATTCTAGGGTTATATCTGAACTCTAAAGTCTGAATCTGATTCGAGCATCTTAACTAAGTCTGATTACTGATTCCTGAGCATAGACAAAGCAATATGTTTATAACTGAAAAACTGAATCAGCACTTACCTGGAGTCGGCGAGGCGTGAGCGTGACGGTTCAGGTTTTTCTGAAAATTACTGACTGAAAACTTTTCAGAGACGCAGAAACGTGCTCTGATACCAATTGTAACACCCCGACTTACTACTACATCAGAGTACGCGATTTTTCGCAATTTACTGAAATAAATACTTATTTTGCGAAAACTGATTCGGGATGCTACCGTGAAAACTTGATTTTTTGAAAACCGTTAAAATTTAAACTGATACATAAAAACGGTCATAACGTCTTATCCGACAAACGTCGGAGCAAAGTCTGATAAAAAAAGTACTGAAAGTTTTAGCGGAAACAAAGCGTGGCTAATCATAAGTACAATAATCATAAATATCCTGAACAGCTCGCCCGCTCACTCCTCGTCCCCGACCCTGCGACCTGAAAAAAACCATGAAAGGTGTGGGGCGTGAGCACTAAAACACTTGTGTTCCGCAGAAACTCATACTAATGTAAACATCGTAAATAATAACAATATCATGAACTAAGCATATACAACTGAACTGAAACTGAAACTGATATCTGATACCGGTCTGATCTCGCGACATAAGTCACGTAACTGATAACTGAAATCTGTAGGCACAAACTAATACCGCAATCTCCCGGCACAAACTAATACCGGACCGTGTGCACACTCTAGTAGTTAGATTAGGCCACTAGAACTCAGAATGGACCGGCGACCATTCCGAGCGGATACTGATTATACATACCTCGACCATGGTAGCGTAATTATAAACAATGTAGTACTTAGTCTGAGTCCCCACCTGAACTACTGAAACTGAAACTGAATGGTAGTGCTGATGCCTGATCAAACTGAAAATAATATAAACAATTACTATTGACTATGCTCAGACTGAAAATTTAACTCCTTAATTATGTTAAGATGCTATATTGAATCTGACTTGATATTCGGACTTATTCGGTATAACTGAAATCGGCTAAGTACGAAACTGAGTCGACAATAATTAA